CTTTAAGAAGTGGCATGATGCCTACCTGGCTGGGGTCATTCGAGCCCAGGTTTTCTTCCTGCCCAGGCAGGGGGTCAGACCTGAAGATCTACAAGGTCCCTTCCGACCCGACTTCTATGATTCTATGAACAGTCCACAGTATGAACGTGAGCCGGCAGTGCAATGCTGTAGCCGGCAGGGCAAACAATACTCTGGCATACATCAATCGATGAATCTCCAGCAAAACCAAGGAGGTGATTCTCCCACTGTACTCAGCACTGGTGAGACCACAGCTGGAGTACTGCATCCAGTTCTGGGCACCGCACTTGAACAAGGACTGGGACAAGCTTGAGAGAGTTGAGAGAAGAGCCACCCAAAGGATCAGAGTCTTACATGGCAAGCCATATGAGGAAAGGCTGAGGGATCTGAGACTCTTCAACCTGAAGAAAAGAAGGCCGAGCGGGGACCTGGTAGCAGCTTACCTTTACACTAGGGGAGTACATCAAGGGCTCGTGAGCAACTGTTCACCACGGCACCCAAGGGGAAAACTGGGAGCAATGGTGTGAAAATCCTGGAAGACCATTTCAGGCGCAACATTAGGAAAAACTCCTTCACAGGCAGGGTGTCCAGACTGTGGAAGAAGCTCCCTCCAGTGGTGGTGCAATCGCCGACCCTGGAAACCTTCAAGAGTAGACTGGATGATCACCTTGCTAGAGTCACCTGACCCCAGTTGTCTTTCCTGCTTGGCACAGGGGGCTGGACCCAATGATCTTCCAAAGTCCCTTCTGGCTGAATATGAATCTATGAAAGCAAGTCTTCAGATCTTTAGTGGTCTGGCTGATGAGCCTCTGATGCGTAAGTCAGCCGGCTGGTTGTGGCCCCTCGCACCCAACCTGTAACTTCATGACACTTCAGATTACTCTTGTATAAGAGGTCACAGCGCTGCCAGCAGCCCTGGCCTCCAAGCAGGAAGCCGACATGGCCTTCCCCAGACCTGCTGTGCTGGAGACCAGACTAGATCATCATCTCCTCCTGATGCTCTGTCCCCCTCATCTGTGAGTGCTGGTTATTGGGGACTGTGAGACTACCCAGGTGCTCAGGATCAAAGGACTATTGGAAAGTCAAGCTGGAAGGGCCCTCACATGGTCATCTAGTCCAGCCCCCTGCTCAAGGCAGGACCAGCCCTCACTACACCATCCCAGCCACATGCAGACTCAATCCCCCCAGCTCTTCCACCCTGTGCTCTTGCCTCCCAGGCCCTGATAATTTTGGTTGCTCTGTGCTGAGCTCTTCCCAATCTGTCCACATCATTCTGGCAGTATGGGGCCCAAACCTGGGCAGTCTCCAGTGCTGGATGGAGCAGGTGAACCGGGGTCTTTATGCCCAAAAGCATAAAGCTTAAGCTTGCCTGCATAAGCTTGCTTCCTGTCCCTGCCAACTATGAGCTGGTTCAAGAAAAGGGATCACAAACAAATCCTGGGCTCTCCTGCATATTGCGGCAGGACTCGGCAGGTGGCACTGTTGCCCACTGCACTGTGAAGATACTGGGTTGGAGAGACCTCAAGCATCGAATCCAGGCCCCTGCATGGAGGCAGCAAGAGACTGTTCCTAGCCCATCGCACACAGACCCCATCCAACCTCTGCTTGGAAACCTCCAGGGAGGCAGGGTCATTAGCTCTCTGAAACACTTGGTCCCGTTGCCCTGCTGCTCTGGCATTAAGAAAGACTTTCTCCCTGAAACTTCCTTGCAATCTGTTTTGCTGCACTTCAAACCCACAGTTGCATGTCCTGCCATCTGGGAACAGCCTTCACAGGACCACAAGATTTCTAGGGTCTCTCTCAGATCCATTTACATTGGCTCTGTTAGGAGTGAATGGTGCTGGCCAGCCAGGGCTGAGCTGCCTTTGTCGTGTGTGCAGTCGGCCCCTGGGCTCAGCCCCAATGTGCACGAGTCAGCAGAAGATGCGGGTGCATGTGAGCAGTGCTGGCTGCAGCGGTCTGGATGGTGCAGAGACAGCATGCAGAGGCGGATGATATGAGCTACCTGAGGTCAGAGAAGGTCCCATGGCTGCAGCACTTGCAGGTTGGACTTGGGCTGCATGAGCTAGTCCCTGATGCGGTGCCAGGGCAGTGCGGGGCTGGGCTCCCTCTTCTCCGTGCTCAGTCAAGGGGGTGATGCCAGCAAGATGCTCATCCTTTCCCCTAGAGTGCTAATGTGCAGCAGGGAGCTGCCCTCACTAAAGATGGCTGCCACCTTCTGGGTCGCTCAAAGCCTAGTCCTGGTGACATGGATGCGGGGGAAGGAGTGAGGTGCAGCAGCGCAGCCGCATGAAGGGCAGAGGCAGAGTGCAGTGGCAGAGGTCTGGTGAGGTGCCAGGGAGAGGAGTCCCATGTGCTCCTCTCCTCCATCTCCCTTCCCACAGGGGCACAAACCTCCCCTACCAGGACCTTTCCCTTTCCCCATTGCCAGGGGAGTCCTGGGCCTCACTTCTCCTTGTCCACACCTCCACCATCTCAAGGGTTACGTGCACAACCCCTTTTCCCCTGTCCTCCAGCTCCAGCCATTACTGAGTGAGGAGCTAGGACCATGTCACGCTGGAGCCCACTCATCTTTGCAAAACTGGTCTCTAGAGCAGCGCAGAGGTCCTGGAAGCCTGCGATGGGGAACACTTCAAGAAACACAAAGACACCACGGAGGGACGCCAGCAGAACAACCAAAGGGGTCAGAGGTCTAGAAAACCTGACCTGCGAGGAAAGGCTGGCAGGACTGGGTGGGAGCTTAGGGAGACCTTTCCAGCTCTGAGGGTGTTCAGCACAAAAGCAGGTCCCTGGAGAGGTGGGAAATCTCTGTCTGGGGAAGTCGGTCAGACAAACCCTTGTGTGGGACGGTGCAGACTGGGAGGCCCTGCCTGGAGCAGGGACATGAACTAGAGGTCTCCTGAGGGCTCTTCCAGCCCAAGATTATACTCTGAAGTCAACAGAAATTTCCAAGAGGCTCCACCCAGGCCAGAGTGTCCCAGTGCCGTTACCCCGCCGTGTACTTGGAGCCGTCCACCCAGCGCCAGGAGCCGTCTGCCTCATGGTCACTCAGCCCGATCCAGTGATCTGCATCTTTCACTTGCGTGGCAAGATACTCCTACCAGACACAAATAGCAGCATTAGTGTGACCCCGGCTACAGGGCAGCAATGTCCTCACTGCCGTGGGGGAGAAGGGCTTGGCAGGGAGGCAGTTGTGCTGCAGTTAGGGAAGTCCCTGAGACATCCCAGCACTTGCCTGCTCTTCCCGGGAGAGGACGGAGCTCAGGTGTGAGTTCTGGGACACGCAAAAGCGCTCGGCCTCCTTCCAGGACCTTTTCTTCTCTGAGAAGTAGTAGAGGTTCCCTCCATGATGTCTCCAGCCTTGGGAAACCCTGGTCAGGAGGTAGCCTAAAGATTCAGGTCAGGAGCATGAGGCGGAGTCACAGTGCAAAGGTGCTATAACGAGGGCCCTGAGGTGAACAGCAACCCCCGGATTTCCACCTGGACCCTGGATGCAGCTTGCCGGGAACCCCCAGTTTGGGTGTACGGCGCCCAGAGTGGCAGGGCCCTGCCTGCAGCTTGATGGGTCCCAAGGTGACGCCCCTTGCACTTGTGTAACCCTGCGGGGACAAGGGCTGGGATAACTGGTAAAGGGATCTGCCTAGCGTGGTGATGCTGGCAGGCTAATTAGTTCTGTGGAGAGGCTGGAGGTAATTAGGCAGGGCAGAGCATTATGTGAATGTGCCAATGCTTCCACTTTAGGAGGAAGCCCCAGCAGCTGATGCTCCCCAAGCCCCATCCTGCTCCTGTGC